AGAGAGAGAGAGAAAGGGAGAAACATCGATCCTTTGCTTCCTACATGTGCCTGGACTGGGGATCAAACCTGCAACCTAGGTGTGACCGGGAATCAAACCCTCCACCTTTCTGGTGTATAGATGGCACTCTAACCAGTTGAGCCACACCCAACCAGGGCTAATAGCTATATTTTTTGTCACGTGAAAGCTTTATATTTTCCTGCACTTTTACCAGTTCTCCTCTTATATTGCACCTGAATTCTTTTTCCTTCCTTTCAACAAACTGATGAAATGAGCAGGGTGGCCAATTGAGCACAAAGCTGTTCTGGAAGAAGAAAAAGCCTGAGGTCCCAAAGACACTTGCTGTCATGCCAGCAGGCCTTAATGAGAGCTGGTGGATTAGCTACAGAAACTTTTCATTCCGATGGGGACCCATTGGTCCTCTGTATCCCCAAATTCCTGTCTGGGCTCGCCTAGTGGGTCAAATTAGAAATCCAACCTAGGGACTCAAGGAGAACTACAGAAGCAGTTCTCTGGCTGCTGTGCATGGCCCTGCAGCAGTGGGACCAAACACGGTCAGGAGGTTCACATGCTGAATTGCATCCAGGAACTACTGGCTCTCAGCAGGTCCCTGGGACCAAGGACACCCTGTGACACTGAGTGCTATTCTGACTCACGCCTTCAGTGAGGGTGTAGTCTCTTGGAATCACTAAGAGACCTTTTATTTTATTTTATTGATTTTTCACAGAGAGGAAGAGAAAGGGATAGAGAGTTAGAAACATGGATGAGAGAGAATCACCAATCTGCTGCCTCTTGCACACCCCCTACTGGGGATGTGCCCGCAATGAACATACATGCCCTTGACTGGAATCGAACCCAGGACCTTTCAGTCCGCAGGCCGACGCTCTATCCACTGAGCCAAACCGGTTTCGGCACTAAGAGACCTTTAGTGGATAGTTTGCTTCCATAATGAAAGATACCATTTTGTTAAACTTAGTGACAGAAAGCAGTGCCTTTCGGGTACATTACTGCAGAAACCTGCTTTCGAAGTAGCCCTGGCAGGACGAGAGGAAGAGGTGGAGGAGAGAGTGTGAACATCTAAAACCTTCTTCCTCAGTGGGAACTATTTGATGCTGAAGGTTTGGTTCGTCGCGACAAGTTTCTCGTTTGGACCACACTTGTAGAGGCTCCAACATCCCTGCGGGCCATGCTTGTGGTCCCTGGGGTCTACAGTGTGGGACTGAGAGCAGCAGATGTGAGACTGTTAGCCAGACTCAAATTTCCAAATTTGTCCCTGCCGGTGCTGGTCACCGGGGCCCTTTAAATCTCTTCTCAAGGTCAGATAAATTCGTCCAAAACACAGTCCAAGTCTTAACTGACAAATTCCCGGAGATGAAAACAGTGGCAACTGGCAAAATAGCAAAGACTGACCAGGAGAAAGAGCTGCTAAGAGTAATAACTTAGTGCCCTCTCCTGGACAACCTGGGCAAAGGCTTTCCCCAAAAGATCTGAATTTGATTATTGGCTCAGTCTCAAAGGAGGAGGTTAATAGACCCAGGGATTCAGGGCCAAGTACCAGGCCCTGGGACACTTTATGGGGCTCTCTGTGACCCTAGAGATGAAGCTGAGAGTATTGCCAATTTGCCTGGATCTCTCGGCATCCTACCTAATAAAAGAGTAATATGCAAATTAACCAACCACTACCCCCACAAACCATGCCCAACGGCCACAGCCACCAGCCAATCAGAGTGAGTATGCAAATAAACCCAACCAAGATGGCTAAAGCCACAGAGAGCAGGAGGGAAGGTTGGGTTTTCCAGCAACGGAAGAAGCCAAACATTCCACCTGCCCTTGCCAGCCTAGGCCTCCACTCAAGGCTACAAAGTTTCAATTATAGAAGGTAAACAAATCCAAACAGAAATGGCTGCTGGCCACTGAGCGAGCAGGAGGCTTGGCTCCACTCCAGGCTACAAAGTTTCAATTGTAGAAGGTAAATAAATTCTAGATACCAGGGCCTCTGCTTGGGTTGCTAGGGGGCCTGGCTGGCCTGCAAACCACCACAGGTCCCTCGCTCAGGCTGTCCCATGTCACAAGGGAATACCCACCCTGATCCGGGACACCCTTCAGGACAAACCAGCTGGCCTCCTCCTGTGCACCAGGCCTCTATCCTATCTAATAAAAGAGTAATATGCAGATTGACCATCGCTCCAACACACAATATGGCTGTCCCCATGTGGTCAAAGATCCTGCCCCCATGTGAACACAAGATGGCCAGCAGGGGAGGGCAGTTGGGAGGCACCAGGCCTGCAAGGAAGGGCAGTTGGAGGCGATCAACCCTGCAGTGGGGGGGCAGTTAGGGGTGACCAGGCTGGCAAAGGAAGGAAGTTGGGGGCAAACAGGCTGGCAGAGGAGCAGTTAGACATCAATCAGGCTGGTGGTCAGGTGATCTGGCAGGCAAAAGCGGTTAGGGGCAATCAGGAAGGCAGGCAGGTGAGCAGTTGGCAGCCAGCAGTCCTGGATTGTGAGAGGGATGTCCAATTGATGGTTTAGGCCTGACCCTGCTGGGATCGGGTCTAAGTGAGCAGTGAGACATCCCTTGAGGTGTCCCAGATTGGAGAGGGTTCAGGCTGGGCTGAGGGACACCACCTTCTTCCTCCTCCCCCTCCCCCCCGCCCCGTGCACAAATTTCGTGCACTAGGCCTCCAGTCCAAACATAAGATTAGGGGTTAGGCCGCTGTCCCTCTGCCCCATGGGGAACTGGAGGGTCAATGAGGATGTGAGGGACAAATGCACTTCCTGGGCTTTGGCTCTTGTGCACAGGTGATTGTGATTCCTGAAATCCTGACTCCAGGATTTCCCCGAAGCTCTGATTCTGGATTTGAGGCACTACCACTGGTATCCTTGCCCAAGCCCATTTTGGGCCTTTACACACCTCCTTTGCTGGGTATGGCTCCCGGTGGAATGCATTATTGGTATATATGTATTATCTATGTGCACTGCTACTTGCCTTTGCCCCAAATCTCTGATAAGAACTGCTGCATTTTTTTTTTTGCCCTAACCGGTTTGGCTCAGTGGATAGAGCATCAGCCTGTGGACTGAAGGGTCCCGGGTTTGATTCCGGTCAAGGGCATGTACCTTGGTTGCAGGCACATCCCCAGTAGGAGGCGTGATGGATGTTTCTCTCTATCCCTCTCCCTTCCTCTCTGTAAAAAAAGTCAATAAAATATATTAAAAAAAGAAGAAGAAGAACTGCTGCATTTTAATGGGGTACGTGGATGACCCATGAACCTACCAATTACTTACCAATGGCTAATACTGTTATCTACCCAAAACTATACTGGCTTCACGGGGGAGAAAAAGAAATAACCGGCCACCCTGCTGGTTTAAGTGCTGTCCGGGTCCTTCAAAGACGCAGGGATCTGGCTTTTGGAGCCTTTGTAAGGTGAGTGGGTAGGTCAGGGATACTCTGGAAGGTTGTGGGGCAAATTAAAGACGGGTATTCGTGTTCCATTTCCCTTTTAGAGCTTTGAGTGGAAAGAGCTTTTAAAGTGTCCCCCTTGGAAATAAGTCGAATAAATGACATCCATGACTTTACACTAAGTCTGTGGGTGTTTTTGTTTGTTTGTTTTTTTGCCAGCGAGGATACTACACATGCTGGGGGTTGCATAGGAGTCAGAACCAGACCATAGAGGCCAGGGCCTGCAAGAGATGGGAGGACTTAGTCGAAGGGAAGATGGCTGAACCCCTCAGAAGCAGCTGTGAAGCCATCTCCATGCAAAGAAAAACAGGCTGCAGGTACCCCAGCTGCAGGCATGCCAGCAGAAGCAATGAGGAAAAGGGCCCAGACTCCTTCACCTCTTAGCTAGAACTAGACCCTTCCTCCTCAATGTCTCCTCCCCATCCCAGTATTCTGATAGTATATTGAGCAGATGGAGGGGGGTAGGAGACACTGTCTGCGAGAAGAAATAGCTACAAGGTTCAACTTTTTAAAAATGTTTTTATTGATTTTAGAGGGAGAGGAAAACATTGATTGGTTGCTTTACCTACACACGTAGACTGGGATCGAACCCATCACCTGGGCATGTGCCCTGAATGGAAATCGAACCAGTTAGGATCCCACCTAACTCAAAGCACAGGATGGCACTCAACCAACTGAACAACAACAGCCAGGGCAGAAGGTTCGATTTTAAAAATATATATTTTATTGATTTTTTTTTTTTTTTTTTTTACAGAAAGGAAGGGAGAGGGATAGTTAGAAACATCGATGAGAGAGAAACATTGTTCAGCTGCCTCCTGCACACCTCCTACTGGGGATGTGCCCGCCACCAAGGTACATGCCCTGGACCGGAATTGAACCTGTGACCCTTCAGTTTGCAGGCTGACGCTCTATCCACTGAGCCAAACCAGTTAGGGCAGGAGGTTCAACTTTTGAATAGATGAAATGCTTCTGATTTTATTAAAATGCATACATGTATTTCTTCTATGCTTTAAAATTTTTTATTTGGTCTTTAGAGAGAAAGAAAGGGAGAGGAATAAAGAGAGAGATCTTTTTAAATAGTTTTTTAAAAAATATATTTTTATTGATTTCAGCAAGAGAGGGAGAGAGAGAGAGAAACATCAATGATCATATGTACGGCGGGGGGGCATTGGTATATGTACAAAAATAATAATTTAATAAAAAAATATATATTGTAAAAAAAAGAAACATTAATGATCAGAGAATCACTGATTGGCTGTCTTCTGAATGCACCCCACTGGCATCAAGCCCCGAACCTGGGCATGTATCCTGATCCAGGCATCAAACTGGTGACCTCTTGGTTCATGGATCGACAATCAACCACTGAACCGCATAGCAGGGTTATTTCTTCTATGTTTTAGAAAATAAACAAATAAAAACCTTCGATGTTTACAAGTAATATTAAGCACCTTCAGTGCGGCAGCACGGTGCTAGGTGCTAAGCAAACAAAGTCTTCGTAGGGAGAATCTTGTTTCCTTGGAGACTGACGGATTCGGGTTTAGAGTCAGTGGTGGCTTTTCATGTGCTGCTTTAAGTGATCAGATCGCTTAAAACGCTTGTCACATATATGACATGGGTGGGGTCGCTCCCCAGTGTGCTTCGATTTGTGTCTGTTGAGCGCATCTAAACGGGTGAATTCCCATGTGCATCCCTTCCACTCGCATTTATGGGGCTTCTCGCCTGGAATCAGAGCAGAAGAGACTTGTCATGCATCAGGTAGCTTGGTACAAGGAAGTTGAAAGTGAATGGAAAAGAAAAAGGTTTTGAGTATGCTAGTGTGGGAGAGGGAGAGCCAGAGTGGAGACTGTATAGGGTGAGTGAAACACACACACAAATGGCCCGGCTGGGGTGGCTCAGTGGTTGAGCATCAACCTATGAACCAGGAGGTCACGATTGATTCCTGGTCAGGGCACATGCCTAGGTTTGAAGCTCGATCCCCAGTGTGGTGTATACAGAAGGCAACTAATCAATGATTCTCTCTCATCATTGATGTTTCTATCTCTCCCTCTCCCTTCCTCTCTGAAATCAATAAAAATATATTTAAAACAACAACAAAACACATACACACACAAATGGAGGGAGAGTGAAAGAGAAAGAAGAGAGCAGCAGGAGTTGGAAGGATGGAAGAAAGCTGTGAAAGAAAGAGAAAAAGAAAAACAGAAGAAGTAGGGGTCAGAAGGATAAGGAGAGATAGGAAGGTGGACGGAGGGGGGTCTGTTGGGTTTGAGAAGAGGCCCATGAAGTGACAGTCCCAGTAAAGGCAGTGTCAAAACCATCCATAAGAGATCAAACAAATCCCTCCAATTATCCCCATCGTTCCAGCACAGGCAGCAACACAAAAGGCTGCAGCAGGTCATCTCTGATTCAGGTCTAGAGTCTATCCCTTGGACGGCTTAATCCACCCTTTCAAATTTGCCAACCTTCTCTAGGATCTACTAGGGTTCCAGTCTTTCTTAATTAAAAACATTTTTAAGGGGTGGGGGCAATGGTATATGTACAAAGATAATAATTAATAAATAAAAAAAATAAAGCCGAAACCGTTTTGGCTCAGTGGATAGAGCATCGGTCTGCAGACGGAAAGGTCCCAGGTTCGATTCCGGTCAAGGGCATGTACATTGGTTGCGGGCACATCCCCAGTGGGGGGTGTGCAGGAGGCAGTTGGTGGATGTTTCTCTCTCATCGATATTTCTAGCTCTCTATCCCTTTCTCCCTTCCTCTCTGTAAAAAATCAATAAAATATATATATTTTTTAAAAAAAACAATCTAACCAATAAATGTTAGTTATTTAAAAAAATTTTTTTAAATTGATTTTAGAGAGATGGAGGGAGGAAGAGATAGAATCATTAATGAGAGAGAAACATGGATCTGCTCCCTCCTGCACACCCCTACTGGGGATTAAGCCTGTAACCCTGACATGTGCCCTGACCAGGAATCAAACTGGTGCACGGGACAACACTCAACCAACTGAACCACACTGGCCAGGCTAGGGTTCCAGTCGTAAAGGGACAACAATTTCAAATGACCCCAAAACTTTGTAAAGGTGCAATCTTTAGATTACTTGTCACCTTTAACCCTTAATGCTTACTCACCTATGTGGTTGCGATAGTGGATTTGGAGATAGGAGACCTTGGAATATGACTTGTCACAGCCTTCGTATTTGCAAAAGAAGCGCTTTGAAACCTTAAGATTCTTCTTGAACTGACGACTCTGGGTTTTGAGTTCTGACTTCTGCTCTTCTAGGGATTGTCCTTGGGTCAAATGGGAACTTGAACAGTGTGGTAATCCTGGGTTTGGCAATGACGACGATTGACATGGCTTCATATGGCTTCCATAGAGAGTGTGATCGTCATTGAAGGCTTTCATCTGTTCCTCCTTAAGGGTCACCATCTGACCCCCATAGAGAGTCTGGTCAGGGCTGTATGTTGTCACCTGGCCTCTAGTGAAGATCTGGTTACCAATGAAGGTCACGGGATAGCCCCCTTTAAGAGCTGCCATTTGGCTCCCATAGGAGGTCTGGTCCCCGCCGAAGGGCATCGGGCCTCCAAAACGGGTCTGGTCCCCGCCGAAGGGCATCTGGCCTCCATAACGGGTCTGGTCCTCACCGAAGGGCATCTGGCCTCCATAACAGGTCTGGTCCCCGCCGAAGGGCATCTGGCCTCCATAACAGGTCTGGTCCCCGCCGAAGGGCATCTGGCCTCCATAACAGGTCTGGTCCCCGCTGAAGGGCATCTGGCCTCCATAACAGGTCTGGTCCCCACTGAAAGGGATCTGGCCTCCATAACGGGTCTGGTCCTCACCGAAGGGGATCTGGCCTTTATAACGGGTCTGGTCCCCGCCGAAGGGCATCTGGCCTCCATAACGGGTCTGGTCTCTGCCAAAGGGCATCTGGCCTCCATAACGGGTCTGGTCTCTGCCAAAGGGCATCGGGCCTCCATAACAGGTCTGGTCCCCACTGAAAGGGATCTGGCCTCCATAACGGGTCTGGTCCTCACCGAAGGGGATCTGGCCTTTATAACGGGTCTGGTCCCCGCCGAAGGGCATCTGGCCTCCATAACGAATCTGGTTCCCACTAAAGGTGATTTGGCATCCAAAACGGGTCTGGTCCCCACTGAAGGTGATCTGGCCTTCATAATGGGTATGGTCCCCACCTAAGAGTATCTGGCCTCCATAACGGGTCTGGTCCCCACCTAAGAGCTTCTGGCCTCCATAGACAGTCTGTCCATCACTGAGGGTCATCATCTGGCTACCTTCTTTGGAGACTGTCGTGTTATTTGCAGTGATGGTTGTCTTTTGGCAATCAGTGAAGAACGTCTTTGGGTTGTCAGTAACACCCATCATCGAGGAAGTTGCTGTGGGTTTTCTCTGATCAAAGGAGGTCACCTTCTGGTCCACGGAGGCAGTTTCACTTAGTTCTCCAGTGGGCATACCAAAGGCATTGACAGGGGACATTGTTGAGTTCTGGTCAAGGACTGTCTCGGGGATATTAGAATCTGCAGAAATCATCACTTCGGGCCTCATAGGAGTCGTCACCTGGCTCTGAATGGACTCATGTTGGCTCTCATCACCACAGCCAGTCAAAGGCATAGAGCTCTGTGGCTCTGGTGTAGCTGGAGTTCTTGACTCAAGTCTCTCAAAATATTCCTCCAGGAACTCCTCAATTTCCTGAGGTAAAGAGTGAGTCTCTTCGCAGTTGCCTGATAACTGAACTAGATCTTCACCTGTGGGGTCCTGCAAAAAAGTTACAAGTTCAGGGATCCTGCCTGACTCAAATCCCAATCCCACATAACCCTTCCTTTTCATCCCTGCTGACCCTATCCTAGTCTAGCCACCATAATCTTTTGCCTAAAAGCCTGCATTTGCCTGGGTTTGGAATTGGCTCTGTCCAGTGCACCCATCCCCTGCCCCCCCCATCCAATCCCCTCCATAGTCAGAATAACATTTCTAAAATGTAAATTTCTATTGTGCTTCTCCTACTTATCAGTGGAGATCGGAATCTACGATAGATGAATGCACGAATACCCCATCATCCCCTGCGAGAGATGTTGCCGAGACTTTCCCAAAGATGCACCGCCTCCCAGATATGGTACTGCAAATTTGGTTACGTTAATGAACTTTCAAACGTGTAACCTCATTTCATTCCCACCAGGACATTAGAAGATAGGATCCACGATTAATCCCATTTCAAAGAAGAGAACACAGATCCAGGGAAGGGAAGTTACCTGACCCTAGGGGGAGACTCTTTAACTAGAATTGGACCTGCCTGGCTCAGGGTGCTCACAGACCTGCACCCACTGTGGACATTTTCCTCAGAGACCTCCCTGGGTATTCCCAGGGATCCTAGGAAGGATGCCAAAAGGGAGCCCTTGTGCACTGTTGGAAATGTAAGTTGGTACGTGAAGTATGGGAGTTCCAAAAGAATAAATAAGAGAACTGCCATATGATCCAGTCATTCCACTTCTGGGCATTTATCCGAAGGAAATGAATTCAGTATACTGAAGAGAGAGCTAAACATCCATGCTCTCTGTAGCATTATTTACAGTCGCTAAGGTATGAAAATAGCCTAAGTGTCTGTCAATGATGAATAATTTTAAAAAATGTGGTTACAACCAAGAGTTCTCTACCCAGCCAAGCTGACATTCAGAATTGAAGGTCAGCTAAAGAGGTTCACAGATAAGAAAAAGCTAAAAGAGTTCATCAACACCAAACCAGTATTATATGAAATGCTGAAAGGTATTCTTTAATTAGAGGAAGAAAAAGGTAAAGATAAAAATTATGACCAACAAATACCATATATATCAACAAGTGAATTAAAAATCTGATGTACAGAATAAACTGGTGAATATAATAGAATCGGGGGCATAGAAAGGGAGTGGACTGACAACTCTCAAGGGGAAAGGGGAACAACTGTAATAATCTGAACAATAAAGATTTATTAAATAAATAAATAAATAAAAAATGTGGTATATGTATAATGGAATGTTATAAAGAACCCCTGTCGTTTGCAATAACATGGATGAACCTGGGGGCATTAGGATATATGAAATAAGTCAGACAGAGCAAGTCAAATACTATATCGTATATGTGGAATATAGAATAAAAGCCGAGGAGGAAATAAAGGAAACAGCTGTAATACTTTCAACAATAAAGCTAAATTTTAAAGAAGTTGAACCCAGAATCAAAGAGTGGAATGGGGGAGGGGGAGGGGGGAGAAATGGGAAATGTTGGGGGGAGAGAGAGAATATATCATTGATTGCCTGCCTCCTGTCTACCCCCTACTGGAGCTGGAGCCCACAATCCAGCATATGTTCTGACCAGGAATCTAACCGTGACCTCCAGGTTCACAGGTCCACGCTCACCTACGGACCGACGCCCGCCAGGCCACCTGTAAGTTTCCGGCCTCCCACCCCAAGACCCGGACTCCTGCCCCGTGTTGGAAGGCAGGCAGACTCACCATCGTTCACCGAGCGTGCGGCCGGGAACCGCTGTCTGGAGGCAGGACCGTCCGGAGGGAAGGCTGAGCCGAAAGCAGCAGCTGCGTGCAGGGCCTGGCCTCTTATGGAGGCGAAGCCAGATGCGCGGGAAGGACACCCTGTGTGCCCCGCCTGCAGGGCGGAGCCAGGCGCCGCGGTAATCCTGTCTGCTCCGCACACACGTGGGTAGGATTGCCTACCGCAATCACTTCCCGTGTTCAATCACTTCCCGTGTTCGATCACTTCCCGTGTTCGATCACTTCCCGTGTTCGATCGATGCCCATGTTCAATCAATCACTTCCCGTGATTTGAACTGGCACATGAACTGGCCCATTTCTTCGTCAACACGGTTCCATGTTACAGGTATCAGACGCTGCAGACACAGGCCCGGAGAGGTTAATCTGCCCGAGATTAAACACACGCGAGACCTCAACAGCCAATCAACTGGTCATGCCACAGTTTGTAAATTTAATCCAATTTCTTCTATGCTGAAATCTAATCAGGTACCTGGAAATGGTAACGACATTTTTTTTTTTTTAATCCTTTCTCGAGGCTGTGTTTAGAGAGAGGGAGGGAGGGAAAAAGGGAGGGAAAAACGACGGGAGAAAGAGGAAGAGAGAGAGAGAAAGACGAAGAGAGAGAGAGGGAGGGAGAGAAACATCAATTGGTTGCCTTCTGTACGTGCTCCCACGGGGGACTGCCCCCGAAGTCCAGGCATTTACCCTGACTAAGAATCAAACCAACCAATGGGTGCTCAGGATGAGGTTCAACCAACAGAGCCAGTGTGCCTGGATGGTAATGACATATTTTTTATTTTATTTTCTTTTTTAATACATTTTATTGTTTGTTTGTTTTTTTCCTTTTTTTCTTTTTCTTTTCTTTTCTTTTTTTTTCTTTTTCAGAGAGGAAGGGAGAGGGATAGAGAGTTAGAAACATTGACGAGAGAGAAATATTAATCAGCTGCCTTCTGTACATCCTCTCCCCCCCACCCCCCACTGGGGATGTGCCCACAACCAAGGTACATGCCCTTGACTGGAATGGAACCTGGGACCCTTAAGTCTGCAGGCCAATGCTCTATCCCCTGAGCCAAACCGGTTCGGGCGGTAATGGCATATTTTGATGCCCATCCCCCTCCCCCACCCTAAGCAGGTCTGCTCTGGTCTTGGTTGGGTCCCATCACCTATGGCCTACCCAGGACCAACAAGCCTGGGCTTTAGCGATTCGTGGAATAAAGACCAGTGTTCTTTAGGGTCTCTGCCAGCCTCTGTTCTCTGCAATTTTGTTTGTTCGGTTGGTTTTCTGTTTGTTAGCTGAGGACCACTGCTGATGGAGTTTGAATTCATGGGAGCGCATGAGCCTTTGCGTGTAAACGTGTACGTCATTGGGAGCCGAGCTGCTTTCACGCACTTCAGGGGCGGAAATGCAAAAGGAGAGCCTGGCATTGGTGCCGTTGCTGGAGGTAGGACTGCTGAGCTAGCCGAAGCCTGAGACTCCAAATGTCCCACAACTAAATTAATCCGTGTTTATTTTTACCTGAAAAATGTCCCTTCTGGTCACTAAAGACATTTTCATAATGAACACCTATTCCTGTGCACTCCCATATGTTACATTTGAATCTATCCATGTTGTTGTTAACAGCCAGAGTAGAATAAGTACATACTTGGTGGTAGTGTCAAATTATGTTTCCACAATGTGTGTGTTTATTTTTCTTGTCTTTGGTGAGTGTGTTTATTTTAATGCTAGTGGCCCATGCCCCTTCTCCTTGGGCCCAGAATGGGCTGTGAGGTGAGGCCAGGGGCTCCAGACCCTGGCTTCTGCTCCGAACTGCCTTGTCCGCATCTCCAGTTGCCTTATTCTCCGCGCACTCAGAGGAGCTGTTACCCTGAGATAAATGAATCATCCAGACTGTTTTCTCACCCCGCCCCCCGCCCCTCCATCCCCAAGCAACCACCCATCTACCTCCTTTCACTATTCCGTGTATGGACATGACAAAGCATAGTGTTTTATAGGGTTTTGAATTTGTGTAAAGGGCATCGTTCAGCACTTATTCTGAAACGTGCCCTTTCTCATGGGATGTCCGCCTTGAGGATTCTCCAGGCGGACAGAGAAGCAGTGTGCTCCTTCTAGCGACTGATTTCCCCTCGTGTGAGCACAGGGAATAACGAGGGGCCATCCAAGAGAACCCTGGGTCCCAGAAGAGACTGGCTTTTTCGATTCGGAAGCAGGGCAAGGGAAGGCAGCCTTGGTATGAGCAACCCCCAGGGCCAAGGAAACCGGTTCCTTTCCAGGTTCCCTTCGAGTAAGTTGGGAAATTACCTTTAAATAAGGCAGGCTAGTTGATCTCTACCCCCCCCCCCCCCCCAAGTCAAACGTTTTCTGCATTTTATTTTATTGACTTTTTTACAGAGAGGAAGAGAGAGGGATAGAGAGCCAGAAACATCCAGGAGAAACATTGACCATCTGCCTCCTGCACCCCCCCACCGGGGATGTGCCCGCAACCAAGGTACATGCCCTTGACCAAAATCGAACCTGGGACCTTTCAGTCCGCAGGCTCTATCCACTGAGCCAAACTAGTTAGGGCTAGTTGATCTTCTTAGCAGCGTTCAAAAATAAAGGGCTTCGGCCTCTCAAATCCAGTGTCGCTGACTGAATTTACGTTGATGGGTGAAAGAAATGTAGTAACTATTATAGATTGAAGAAATTAGTCACTAGTGGTCGGAATCTTATGGTGGTTTTCTATTTGAAAAAGCAACAACCACAGGCTTGCCAAGTGAAAAAAATTAAATTGGATCAGAATGAATTGTAACACTTTGCTTAAATATTACTCTGTATTAAAATGTAGAACTTCACGTAAATAACTATGTAAACAACCAAGTTACTGGAAATGTTAGTTTTCCTCTAACAGAATTCCTTTGGCTCTAGTATCCTTGCTGAGTTGAAGGTAATGAATGAAGACATGCCTTGGCCAGAGTGGCTCCAGGGCACCAAAAGGTTGCTGGTTCGATTCCCAGTCAGGACACGTACCCAGGTTGTGGGTTCGATCCCCCAGTTGGGGTTCATACATTGATGTTTCTCTCTCTTTCCCTCTCCCTTCCTCTCTCTCCAATATTAACTAAAAGAACATATTTTTAAAAAAGAACGAAGACATGAAAGTTGACATCAAGTCAACAATTGGTAGGCTGTCTCTCCTCCTTTCCACTTTCTCTAAAAATCAGCGGAAAAGTGTCTTTGGGTGAGGATTAACAGCAACAACAAAAAAGATGTGAGGTCGCCCAAACCGGTTTGGCTCAATGGATAGAGCATCGGTTTGGCGACTGAAGCGTCCCGGGT